CACTTTCTCATTACTTTATTTTCCAGCTCACCAGACTGGGCCACAGTAACGCGTGGCAGGGGACCGCTAGTATTGTTTAAAAATGGGGTCACCAAATGGAGTTATATAATTGGAAATTTAGAAGAGACAGAAGAAAGTACTTTGTTTACACAGTATACAGGTTTTTCTTTCCTGTCAGGAACGACTTGATAAACTGCAAGTCGCTTCTGATGTGAGAGAATTGGTCGTCATGTTGCCCAGGGGATGCCCAGATGTTTTTGATGTTTTACTATCCTTTACTTACTTACTTAGGCGATCCCTCGTTGGACGAGTAAGATGGTCTTCCATTATGGATTTCCTTGTGGGTCCGTATGTGGCTGTGGAGCCCTATTCTTGCTCTGCATCTTCTTCCGCAGTGAGGGCATTGGTTTCCAGGTGGAAGGCGGTCCCGGTCGGGGTTGGCTTGACGCGCCTTCCTCCTGGCACGTTTCTCTCTTTCACCCTCCACTCATGCCTCCTCAAATTCTGCAGCACTGCTAGTCACAGCTGTCCTCCAGCTGGAGCGCTCAAGTATGAATACTATCCTTTGGGAGGCTTCATTTATGTTCCCACATGGGGAGCTGGAGCTGACAGAGGGAGCTCTTCCATGCTCTCCCTGGATTCGAACCTCTGACCTGTCGGTCTTCAGTCCTGCCGGCACAAGGGTTTAACTCATTGCACCACCGGGGGCTCTGGTGTATACAGTATAACTCTGGAATTCATTATCACAAGTTGTACTGATGGGCCCCTTTAAAGGGAGTTTAACAGATTCATGGAGTTTTAAGCTACCAATGGCTCCTAGTCATGGATTACTTTCAGTATCAGTTAACATTATGTCCCTGGATGCTAGTTGCTGGCAAAGTATATTTTTTTTAATGTCCTGCTTTGGTTTTCTCAAAGGAACTGTAAACCACAATAGTACACAAAATGCTGGACTACATTGTCATTTGGTTTAATAAAGCACAATTATGCCTACATTCTTATTGGAGCTTGGAAATATTGGCCATGATTGTAGACCAGCTTTCTAGTTATGTAACTACTGTAGTTACATAATTAAATAGCATCTCCTAGACTGACTCTTCCAGCTGCTGTGAGTGACAGGGTCTGCTCACTAATGTTTTCATCCCTATCAAATGAGCAGACCCGTAGCCAGGATTTCGTTTCGGGGGGGGGGGGG